GGAAACAATAAAACCGCTCTGAGAATCAGAAGGTTTTCACTGCACAGAAAACAAGAACCATCCTCAAAAGTGTTAACTGAACACTTTATGGTTAAGTAGAAGGGACAGATGCAGGCTCAATACTTAGTTTAGTTAAAACCCAGATTATCTTACTTTTCCATTGGCTCTTATACCCTGCAGACAGACTGTCACAGCTGCTTGAGATACTTATAATCTGTCACGGGGAGATGAGTCTATGTAGTCAGAACAGTACTGTCATCTAAAAATCTTTTAGGGTGTTTAATATTCCAAATTACACAAATCTAGTAAACCAAACATACTAAGACTTTCTCTTGTTCTCCTACGTCATCTCCAGAGTTATGACACCAGATGAAGATGCTGGTGTGCTGCACATGGAAGACTGGATGCTTTGCATCTTTCCCTCAGGTGACTCAGAACTGAATTTCTGTGTTTCCTGCACTACTGCAAGCAGCTTCAGCTTGTTGACTGACTAGAAAACTTCACAAACACAGACAATTCTGACTCCTTGTTTCTCTAGTCTGCCATTACTCTGAAAGCAGAGGCACAGCTTACACACTCACTAGCCAAACAATGGACAGTAACTTCACCGGAGAAAGGAAACAGGGTACCTTGGTCATTCACTCATCCCACTCACCTATAGTGCTAAATAATAATATTATGGGAAAGTATTTTTAAAATTTAGCTTCCCCAGTTCTGTCCTCGCTTCAGAACTGGAGCAGAGATTCCAACTACAGTTAGAAAATTGTCCATTCTGAGCATGGCTACCTGTTACTGCAGCTGCTCTCTCAGACCTCGGTGGTCTCAGCAATCTCTCGGGTACACAAACGCGATGCTGTGACTTCTCTGCTTACCACTGCGAGCAGGGAGAAGGACAAGAATCAGTGTCAGTGCAGTCAGCCCAAGGAGGTTTCTGACAGGGCTAGCAACTGACCCTAGAAGATTTTGGTCCTAGGTTAGCTTTGAAACATATATTTAGCATTCCTTTTGGTTAAAGGAAAAAAAAGAAGCGTAGTTAGCTCTTACCCTAACATGGTCACTCTAGAGTGCCAAACTGACTCAAGCAATGCTAAGACCTATTTTTCGACTGGTCCCATGCAGATGAAAA